TTTGAATGTTATGTAATGAAATCTGTCAGCCTGGGCTGGGAGGCTCAGTAAAGTGAGACGTGTATGTGTATATGGGAGAGTGGGCGGTGGAAGAAGAGGGGAAAGGAGAGAAGGGAGGTTAAATCGAAATAAGCAAGAAATAAACTGTTGTGGTTCACAGTCTCAGCTTTCTAAAACCTCGGACATGAACAAAGCCGCCCTACAAGTCCTCACCCTAGTATCACTAAGGCTAGTAGGTCAATGCCTCACGGGCTCTATAGTCAATGACACACATTAGCTACACCTAATCCGTTAAGTAATTACCACAGCAAGCTTTGAAATACCTGAGGTACTAACTTTCCTCTCACAAATTTTGCAGAGGTCGTAGATGAGTTGAGTTTAACTTCCATTTTGTCCCTACGTTCTGCTTCTTATCCATGTCAGCCTGTGTCCACCTTATATATAACCGATAGTGTCTTGGGTGTCATGACTATGTCTTCTCCGATTCTCTGTCCATAAATGTGAGGCTCGCATTTCCCAGTAGCTCCGGGGCTAGTCTAGTTACAAACTTCTTACTTAAGTTTCTTAACATGTCTGACTAGGTACTGGCTCTATGCTGGTGCTGTAGACTTGCGTATTAATTTTACATTCTTTGTTATGCAGTATCTTTCAGGTATTTATATTTCCAAAACTGCGTTACTGCTGTTATTCAGTTTTTGTGTCTTACCGCATGACATAAGTGATATACTCACCTATTTGTGGTTGCAAGGGTCGATTCTCAGCTCCTCGCCCTGCCTTTTAACTTGCCACCAGCAAGATTCACTCTTTCCTAGCCTCGTGGGCCCTATCGTACCTGCTCTTAAAGCTATGTACAGAACATGCTTTCACCACTTCCTCATCGAGATCATTCCACTTTCCGACTGTGACTCATCTGTTTAACTTCCAGCTGTGTCACCGAGTTCCTGTTTTTCTCCTCTCGAGCAGCACTATCTATCCTATCAATTCTCCTGAGTATTTTGTATGTTGTTATCATGTCTCTGGTTCTTCTGTCTTTCAGGGCCATTAGCTTCATTTCCATTATCCTCTCCTCATAGTTCATACCTCTTAGCTCAAGAACAAGCCTCGTTGCGCACCTTTGTACTTTCTTCAGTTTATTAATAGACTTTTTTTTTTTTAGGTGTGAGTTCTATTGTGATGCTGCATATATTCCAAGATGGGCCTGACATATGTTGTATACATGGTCCTGAATGACTCTTTGCAGAGATTCTTGAAGGCTACTCTTAGATTTGCCAGACAAGCGTTGACTGGAGAGGATATTCGTCTGATGTGAGCCTCAGTCGTTAACTGGGCACTAAGCTCACTCCTAGGTCTTTCTCTCTGAGTAATGTCTGCAGCCTCTGTCCCCCTTGTCCATATCCCGTTTCCGATCTTCTTGCTTCTTTCCCAATCGTCTTTATTACTATTTGCTATAGTACTTTCTTTCCAGGGATGCGACCACACTAGCCGACCAACATTCACTGCCTATTGAATGCTGGGTGAACAAGGCCAGCATGTGTAAGGAGACTTGACCAATGACTCGCTTTCTCTGACTTTCCAAATGTCAGCGAAAATTTCTGACCGCAGAACTGTAAGTCACCTGTGTGAGCAAGCTAGCGTTAGATGATTGAAGATTAAGAGGCGGGACCAGGAGCTGTCACTTGACACCCCCCTCCTTCCCGCAAGCACAACTCAGCGACTACAACACACACAGCTTGCGCACACCTTCATTAATATTAGGCCAAACTATAATTGTCGCATTTTGCATTTGTCATTCTCAGCAGTCACACGGTTCACGTAAAGAGAATGTTTGCGTCACTAGTTAAATATAAATTCCAGCAAATTTGCAAAAAAAAAAAAAAAAAAATATGAATATACGAAGTACTAGGCACCGCTGGAAAATACACATTAGGCTGATCACTGTTGAACTATACAACTTTAACAAGATAAATAACGAGAGACAGGTACAATTTGGCCAGGCATGTAACGGTGGCAAAAATGGTATGCCCCGTTAGTACTAGTGTACTCCCATCACCTGCTGTGACGTTTTAACAACCACCCCCACACACCTGCTGAGACCGGTGTTGTAACTCCCACACACCTGCTGTGGTGTTGTAACACCTACACACCTGCTGTGACGGTGTTGCAACACCCACACACCTGTTGTGACGGTGTTGTAATACACTCACACACCTGCTGTGACGGTGTTGTAACACCCACACACCTGTGACAGTGTTGCAATACACCCACACGCCTGCTGTGACGGTGTTGTAACACCCACACCTACTGTGACGGTGCTGTAGCACCCACACACCTGCTGTGACGGTTGTAGTACACCCACTGCTGTGACGGTGTTGTAACACCCACACACCTGTTGTGACGGTGTTGTAACACCCACACACCTGTAACGGTGTTGCAACACTCCCACACACCTGCTGTGACTGTTGTAGCACCCACACACCTGCTGTGACTGCTGTAACACCCATACACCTGCTGTAACACCCACACACCTGCTGTAACACCCACATACCTGCTGTAACACCCACACACCTGCTGTAACACCCACACACCTGCTGCAACACCCACACACCTGCTGTAACACCCACACACCTGCTGTAACACCCACACACCTGCTGTAACACCCACACACCTGCTGTAACACCCACACACCTGCTGTAACACCCACACACCTGCTGTAACACACACCTGTGGAAAAACTTTGTTTCCTGAGAACTGCATCTCGTTGATTTCTGCCTGAGTTAACAACGGGAACTTAATATTCCACAGTCTAGCTTAGGTAAATATGTTAACGCATAATTAACCGACAGTAACGAAATAAATTTAACTGGCGGCTTGTGTGTGGTAGCCTGAGATATCATACTACCTTAGGTTATTATGATAATCATAGCTAATCGCTAAACCCATAAGGGTTTAGAGCACTGATCTTCGCACACACGCTAAAAAAAAAATTTGGAGGGTGATTGAAAATGGCATTTTTTATACAAATATAGGAGCCTATTAATTGCAGTGGTAGGTTAGGTAAGGTTCGTCAGAAAACAGGACAAGTGTTTCCTGACGCCATTGGAGCTTTTGGTCATCTGACCGAGGCCTTATTATAGTCAAAGTTATAACCATTTTTTGAGTTATTAGTTGTGTTCAGTTTGGAGCTGAACAGCGACATCGGTGGATCAAATGACTGTGCTAAAGTGGAGTTAATGGTGGTATATGCCTACTCTTTCAGGATGAACGATACTGCCCAGAGAGTATGTCCCGACCCACAAAAAGTTTAACTAAGCCCAAAATGAGGCAAAAGAATTATCGACGACCTTTTTTTCTATACTAACCTAAATAACTGTCGACGACCTTTTTTTATACTAGTCTAAGTAACTGTCGATGACCTTTGTTTCTATACTAGCCTAAGTAACTGTCGACGACCTTTTTTTATACTAGCCTAAGTAACTGTCGACGACCTTTTTTTCTATACTAGCCTAAGTAACTGTCGACGACTTTTTTTCTATACTAGCCTGAATAACTGTCGACGACCTTTTTTCTATAGCCTAAGTAACTGTCGACGACCTTTTTTCTATAGCCTAAGTAACTGTCGACGACCTTTTATCAATACTAGCCTAAGTAACCGTCGACGACCTTTTTTTCTATATTAGCCTAAGTAACTATCGACGATTTTTTTTACTATACTAGCCTAGTTGTTGACGACCTTTTTCCTATACTAGCCTAAAAAACTGTCGACCTTTTTTCGATACCAGCCTAAAACTCGTAAGCATTAATTTTTCTTTTTTTTCGGAATGGTATCTGAAGTCATGTTTGGTGTTGTTACATAGCAAATATTACATAAAGACCCGGTAATGACTGGCAGTAGTGAGCCGTTAGTTTTCTATTTTTCTGATGTTTTGTACTTTTCAGAGGTTCCTTGATGCTAGCGAGGGGCTCTTGATCTAAGGAATTGATGCTAGCCTCTCCTTCAGATCAAACCTAATTGCCTTCCATTCCCCAACTGCTGTATAACCCTTCGGGTTTAATGCTTCCCTATGAATGTAATAATATTATTATTGATGAAAATTTAGTTTTGTTGTTGTTGTTGTTGTTGTTTTGAAAGGCCAGTGTATGAGGCAATAACAAATAAAAAAGACAATTAAATTAGATGGGAATGGGTGGTGATGGTGTGACTGAAGAACACACTAGTGATAGTGTGACTGAAGAACACACTAGTGATAGTGTGACTGAAGAACACACTAGTGATAGTGTGACTGAAGAACACTAGTGATGGTGTGACTGAAGAACACACTAGTGATAGTGTGACTGAAGAACACACTAGTGATAGTGTGACTGAAGAACACACTAGTGATGGTGTGACTGAAGAACACACTAGTGATAGTGTGACTGAAGAACACACAAGTGATAGTGTGACTGAAGAACACACTAGTGATGGTGTGACTGAAGAACACACTAGTGATTGACTGAAGAACACACTAGTGATAGTGTGACTGAAGAACACACTAGTGTTAGTGTGACTGAAGAACACACTAGTGATAGTGTGACTGAAGAACATACTAGTGATAGTGTGACTGAAGAACATACTAGTGATAGTGTGACTGAAGAACATACTAGTGATAGTGTGACTGAAGAACATACTAGTGATAGTGTGACTGAAGAACATACTAGTGATAGTGTGACTGAAGAACATACTAGTGATAGTGTGACTGAAGAACATACTAGTGATAGTGTGACTGAAGAACATACTAGTGATAGTGTGACTGAAGAACATACTAGTGATAGTGTGACTGAAGAACATACTAGTGATAGTGTGACTGAAGAACATACTAGTGATAGTGTGACTGAAGAACATACTAGTGATAGTGTGACTGAAGAACATACTAGTGATAGTGTGACTGAAGAACATACTAGTGATAGTGTGACTGAAGAACACACCTGGGTTACCGCATGCAGTGAGTCGCCAGTTGATCACCAGCTGCCGCACGCGAAGCATCTTTCCCCTCGACCATTTTTCCCTCCATGGAGCACTGCGTTTAGTGAAAAACTACACTACGTTCATAACGTCGCTTTTCTGTGCTCTCATACTGTGCTTGTATATCTATACACTTGAGTGGGTTAGAAAATAGCCATATCAAAGTATTTGGACATTACAAGCACCAGCGGTGTTACTGCGACCTGAACTTCGGATTAATGGTAAGGTAACCATAATTATGTTTTGAATATAATTACTGTTCTTTAACTAATGAAGGTTCGTGCTAAAAAATAGCTAGGCTTTATCTGGATGCCTGAAGTGAGGGTCCTGATCCAGGCATTAGGAACACGTGGCTTGGTATTACAGCAGCTTCTGTTTAAAGAAATATTAACTAATATAAGTATAAAACACTTAGAACTCATTAATGAAGTTTATTATTATAAGTTTGCTCCTAGTCAGTGGTACAAGAGCCTAGCGTGCTTATTTCCCTGTTACCATTAACTCTGAGGACCTACTTCAGGAATTTTTGAGTGGTCATGAGACGATGGTACCTACTTACCACATTAGTTGACAATTCGTGGTGTCTCGTCCTCACTAGTTTTTTTTTTTTTCATTCCATGACATATGTATTCATGGGGAGGCGCCAAGCCAGTAAGTCATAAAGCCACTGGGGAAATGCGAGGAAATTGTGGTTTGGTCCGAGGAGAGGGAGGGTAGTTCCAGTTCCTTGGATCAAGATTTCGCTAGTACAAGGGATATATATCATGGTAGAATTGTTGTAGTGAGAGAAGCTCCTTGCACTGTTATCAGTAGTTGGGAAAACAATATTAATTTATTTTTAAAGAATAAACTTACATAAAATATATCCGGAGTTTTTATCGCTTGTATAAGAGCTGTAGACTGAAAACAAATTTAAATGCACACATTTCATAAGGATAGAAGACTGCAGTAAGCCTACTAGCCCATATTAGGCAGGTCGTTTTCAAACTCAACCCTTCTCACCTGTATATTTGTCATAGGAGAAAGGGTCACCAGATGTAATGACAACGTAGACTTCACGGCAATAAATATTTGTAGAGTTGTCTTAAGAGTTAAGTATTTTTAATTCTTGGTGCCCAGCTAAAAATATTCGGAGAGTCATCTTACGTTTGAAGTATTAGTTACTGGTGGCGAAGAGGCAACATGCAGCTTTAATTATCCTCGTGTGTGAATAGGCTTTAAGCACATTTACCCAACCTTTCGGAAATACATGTAATGTTACCCACAAGTTGTGTAAAAAAAAAAAAAAACTTAGTTTCCATTTTATATGGTAACACACCAATGATCTTCTCTGGTGAAGGAGAAGTAAGTCTTCAGCTTCGAGTAGGTAGAGCTTTTGATGGACTCTGTTAATGGGATTGCAATGCCGATGATAAAGATGGCATGTGGGGACTGCTTGAAGATAGTACAAGAGCCCAGTAAAATGAATGTGTAAGGAGGTAGAAAACACCAACACTAGAACTAGCTGGTGGATCAAGTTTCTGTATATACTAGCTTGAGCTACTAAATCAATTCCCTCCTAAACCCTCGCGGTTGGTTAACCCAAGCCAAATCCCGTGGGCTACAGAGAAAAATAGGAAGGCTATTAGAAAGGCACGTTTCGAAATGGTGTCTGGAGGCCCTAAAGACTTACTTAAATGAATCGTAGTGAAACCAATTCTGGTAATGAAATATAGACAAAAATATAAATGAAAAAAAAACAGAACAAATAAAGTATCCAATAAGGAAAGTGACATCTTACTAGGAGTGCAGTGGAGGGAGAAATGAGGTCCATATAAAAGAAAACAAGTATGAAAAATACCCCCAAGTTACCAAGTAAATCCCTCGTAAGTAACTAACATACAGACCCCTACAAGAACAGAGGAAAGAAACAAAGGCCGAAATCACATACTTTCATTCTAAATATGAACGTTTTTCCCTAACATTATCCAACCTGTTTTTGAAGTCACCCAAGATGATCCCTTCGATGACTATTCTACAGATTATTCCACTCGTCTACGGTTCTATTTCCAAACCAGTACTTTTCTGCATCCTTTATAAATCCGAATTTAGCCATCTTAAATCACTTGTTTCGAATTCAGTCTTGGTTATATTTCTTTAACATCCAATTTGTCTTATTTATGCCTGTCTTTCCCTTGTATTCTTCAGTCATATCTACCTTCGTTTTACCCCTCAAGGAAGGTTCCTTGATGTTGGTGAGGGGCTCTAGATTTAGGGAATTGGATCTGTGCTCCAGTTCCCCAAATTAAGCCTGAATGCCTTCCACATCCCCCCCCCCCAGGCGCTGTATAATCCTCCGGGTTTAGCGCTTCCCCTTGATTATAATAATAATAATACCTTCGTTTTACGTATTTGAAGAATGCAGCTTCAGGGCTTTGTATTTTTTCGCATGAAAGATCCCATTTACAGTGGAATAACTTTATAATCCTTCTCTGTTCGGCATTGCATTTATATATCTATTCTGTAGTATGAAAACAAGAATTGCGCGGATTGATCTAAATGAGTTCTTTCTAATAATGTGTAGAGCTATAAAATAACATTTGGACCCCCTATTGCTTATTTTGATATAAATCTAAGGAGTCGGCTATTTCCTAGCCTGCAGGCGTAGTAGCAGCCATGGTCCACTTCCTCACTACACTACTTTGCCAAAAACTGCAGGGGTAGCAGCAATAATGCCCTGCTTCGTCACTATGCCAGACAATGTAGGAGTAGCTGTGCTCCGTCCTTATTAGGTTATTTCCCTGGAGGCAGTAGCAGCACCTATGATTGCCAGGATCTTACAGGAAATTTGTTTATTGTGCTCTTGCATTGTCATAATTAACGTTCGTGGTTAACATAGAGTGGATGGAGCCCTATAACAAAGTACCAACGATTAAGCTGTTGGATTTAGCACTCGTTTACTGGGCCACTGGTGATGCGTGCCCCATTAACCGTCCAACTACTGCCCATTCACCGCCACTGATGTATGGCACATTAACCGTCCAACCACTGTTCATTCACTGTCATTGATGATAAATGCCATATTCACCTCCCAACCATTGCCCATTCATAACCAGTGGTGATATATGCCTCATTACCCATCCACCTACTGCCTGTTCAGTCACTGGTGGTGTATGCCCAGTTAACTGTTCCATCATCACCCATTCACTCACTGGTAGTGTATTTTCCAATCACCTTCTGAACCACTTAATCATTGCTGCTGGCGGTGTAGGTCCCCTACACCATTACACCTTTAACTCAACTACGTAATGCTTTTGTGTCCCCCTTGGAGAGAGATTGCGTGTGTACAGCCAGCTGCCTCTCTGTCGGATATTCATTTGAAACTTGCAGCTATTGTAATTGCACGTACTGACGTTAGTTTGCGTAAGGGAGTGTCTCGTTGTAGAGTCACGGATCTGCACGTTTTCTGAGAAGAGTTTACACATCTGTTTGCACCTAGCGACGTACGCGAGCGCATAGTTAACGGAACGTCTGCCCAGAATCGTGAATAAAACGTCCAGAGCCTGGAGTTATCAGTTTACTTTATGTGAAGCAATAAACTTGTGTGGGTTACCTAGCGCAAGGCGTAGTGGAGACTCGATATTTCGTTAGCTAATAGCGAGACATACACGCTGCCAAATTGTACTCATCTTGTACCTCGTGACAAATTCTGTAGAATTGGCTTGCTGCTGTAAATACTGTGTACTGGTTAGTCCCTTATGTTACATCGCTGACCGAAACTGTACCAAACATTAGCAAGAACAAATATAAGTAAATAAATGGCGAGAATCATAGTAGTAGGACGTCAGTAGTGAGGGTAATAGGAGCAAGGCTGACATCAATGGCATACTACAATATAGAAAGCCCCTTGTTATGCAGAGCATTTCGGGCAAATTAGGTTAAATTTGTTCCCAGGATGCGACCCACACCAGTCGACTAACACCCAAGTACTTATTTTATTGATAGTATAGTTAAAAATGGAGAGCAAGTGTCTTAAGGAAACACGTCTTAATGTTTCTAACCGTACCGGGAATCGACCCCTGGACATCAGTATGTGAGCCGAGTGCGCTAGCAACCGAGCCACTGGACAAAGACAAGCCTCACCTGACTACAAATCCGCGAGTTTTTGGGGAGATTTTACTGTGAATAAACAGCGAACTGTCCCTTGATCGTTGGATAGCTTGTATGTTTTTTTTTTGGATGAATCAGTATTCATATGGACCAGATATCGTAATGATCCCAGAGCTTCATAAAGTGTCAAAGAGTTAGCAGACAATGACAGTTACGCGACACGGTGCGATAGATTCACTCCCGGTGATCAGTATGTGTCACCAGTCGGAAAAGCAAGAAAAAGGGAAAAGTAGAGTAGGGGAGGAAGAAGCGGTGAAGTAGGAAAGAGGGAGAAGTAGAGCAGGAAAAGAAGAAATGAGGCAGAAAAGAGGGAGGAGGAACAGAAGGAAAAGGAGAGGGAGCAAAGCAAGAAAGGGGGCGAAGGTGTAGGACAGGAAACGGAGATTAATCGTGCATAAAGGGGGGAGGAGGTAGAGAAGGAAAAAAGTAAAGAGTAGAACAAAAAAAGAGAAGGGAAAGGAAGGGAAGGGTATTGTAGGGAAAGGTGTGGAAGTAGAAAGGGGGAGGAAGTAGAGTTAGGAAGGGGTGAATAGCGGGAGAAGTGGAGGAGGAGCAACATGTGGTTGAAGAGCACAATGTGTGCACTCAGGCCCACATAACGGTCCTACCACTCACGGCAGTCCTCACATACCTCATATATATATATATATATTGAAGTGCAAAGGCTTAGCAAGGTATATTTACTCGGTCGGGAGAGTTTCTGCATTTTGAAGTGGGATACTAAGGTTAAGTCACACCAGGCTATCATGTGGAGTGACCGTTGCCGTAGCGATGCAAAACCAGACAACGACCTCGGGTTATTAACGGTGGCCTGATTAAATCTTAACAAGAAGTGCGTAATTGTTTTTAGATTTTAAGCTGGTAATAGCTCCGCACATTTCATGATGACGCTTAGCGGCTTCACACTGGCCATAGTCAAAACCCAACAATGTGACCACTCCGGACTTACCGTCCACCACGAAAACGTTGAGCTGGCCAAGATAGGACAGAGCCAACCATCTGGCGATGGAGAGCTAATCGTAAAAGTAAATACCCTCTGGGTTCTCACCGCGCGTCACTCCCAACCACTTTG